ACCAAAAACCAAAATGGTTTGGCTACCCAGCATACTGCCCTAAAGCTTGGTAGAACAATCAGGTCTTTTGAATTTTCAAACTTTCAAAAGAATAGCAGCAATACCATATCTCCAAGGGCATATCATTCCAAAGGACAGGAGAAACGCAATTTACGATGCAGCAGGAATGCATGCTCATACTGTGACACACCCATCGTTTCCTCCACCCCATTATTCCAGGCCAGCGGTAGTTTGCAAATGGTCTTCAAGGGCAGGCCCCCATGTAAACTACACTATAGTAGTTCAATCAAGATGTAACCAAGGCATGAGCAACTGCCTGAGTTTTGATGTCAAAACTCTGATTCAGATTCCACCACTGGAGTAATTTTTTGGTTAATAGCCTGGATACATTGGGTATAGAAAGCTTTCTCTTCCCTAGACAATTATTTTTATGTATGTGGTGTACATCTCTCTGTTCTTCAATAATTAAAATAATACCAGACCTACCTCCTGAGAAGATATACTTCTCTCAGATATATCTTGTCAGGAGATAAGGGCTGGGATTATTGATGTCCTTTTCTTGATCTGAATTAAGTTAGGTGAAGAAAAATGAGAACGGGGAGAAGAAAGAGACATAACTGTGTCAACTTATATAAAATCACACGGGATAATTTGTAGAAAAGATGAATTGATAAAGAGCCAACTCGATACATAGTATAATATGTCTTAGTATAGTAGTGATAGCAGAACCTCCACATACTGGGCCAGGACTTTGACAGCATCATATGATTGGCTGGGAGTCAAGATGTATAATTGAGTATCAGCAGATCAAAACATAATCTTTTTTTCCTATTCTTATTTTGCCTTCAGGCCTTTATAAAATACACATTACCTATGAGAGAGTGAGGAGGGGATATCACAAAAATATCTTCAGGGCTGCTCTTAGAAATGTTATGTAAATAAAATAATATGTAAATAATATGTATCTATATATTAGCACCATGGAACAGAAAACGTTGAATTGTATTACTATACTTCATAATAAAAAACCAATAAAATTCGGGGGGGGGAAAAGAAATGTTATAGGCATCTGATAGATAACATTGTTCAGATTTATTCAGACATAGACTCTGACTGGGCAGGTCTGGCTGAGTTGGCTAAGCCACAGCCTTGCCCTATTAGCTGGGAAATATTTGATCCTGTAATACTCAAGGAAGCAGAAATATTCCTTTGGGTTTTAACCATCTACCGGTCTTTTCGATCCATTTCCCTCCTGGGTGGTTAACATCTTCTGGTTGGTGACACTTGATCAGGTCCATGCTATAGTGAATTCATCTTTGAATGAAGTTATAGTTCTGTCTGCCCTGAAGGCAGTAGTGGATTCAAGAAGCAATGCTAGCTTCATCAACATTTGTTGCAATGGGATTCAGGTTTAAAATTCAGAGGGCCCTGGAGAAAGCTGATTACCCAGATGCTTTTCAATCTGCTTTCATGCCAGGTTATAGTGCAGTGAAATCATTGATTGCATTTGCTAATGATCTCTGATAGGATGAGTGGTGTGATCATTTGGGCTCAGCAAATGGCCTCTTGGAGCACAACACAAAGAAATGTCCTACCTTAATGGAATTTGTGAACAAAAACATAAAATAAATAAAGCCCAACATGGGGCTAAAGAGAAACACAGAACCTTTGATAGATGTCCTAAAACAAATGTCTATGATGAGAAAATATGTGCAAAAAATAATTGTTTCAATTTAGAAGGACTGAACCTTCAAAAAATAAGCCGTGACAGACTTAAACCACACTAACAAAAACAATAACAAAACAAATGGAATTAGCATAACCTCTAATTTATTTCTGACAACATTCTCAATCCTTAGTACCTGGGTCAAATCTTAACTCTTAAAAGAAAAATTAACTATGACATGATTATTCAGCACACATCCTTTCATATTGTCAGTTATAATGAATTTTGTTCCTAAAGGTCATCCATGAAATACATGCATGCTGTTAATGTAATGCATTTAAGGTAATGCCAGAGGCAACATAATATTTAAGGATACTATCTTTGTTGGATTGGAAAATTGGAAAATATTTTATTCTTCCTAGCTCGATCCCACCCCCTTTTTCAAAGAATTCATTCAAAAGTGAAAAAATATTTTGACAATTTCTTTTTCCAAAATCTGAATAAAGCATGAGATACAGAACAAGTATGCTAAATCATTTGTGCTGATTTGGCTGTGATTGTGCATGTATATGTGTACAGTATGTATGGAGAGAGAGAGAGGGAGGGAGGGAGGGAGGAAGGGAGTGAGGGAGTGGGATACATACATACACACACACACACACACACACACACACACACACCGTGTTTCCCTGAAAATAAGACCCCATCTTATATTTTTTTGAACCCTGAAATAAGCACTTGGCCTTATTTTCTGGGAGAGTTTATTTTCAGGGGGGCTTATTTTAGCACATGCACTCAAAAGCCCGATTGGGCTTATTATCAGGGGAGGTCTTATTTTCAGTAGCCCCCCTGGATATAAGCCCTTTCTAAAAATATAAAATAAATAAATAACAAAAATGTATCAGAAATAAAACTATTTATAGAAAACACAACAGAAGAATACCCTGAGAGAATAAAATGATACCTGCCTAAGCTTAAACTGGGGTTTCCCATGAAACATCTGTTCCTATATGGTTTCTGTGACAACCTCAAAACCAATGTGACCCATACCCATAAACTCCAAAAATTTACTATTAGATTAAATTAGATTAATACTAGTTAGATTTACTTCTTCAAGAGGCAGAGCTGTTAGAGATGAGTAAATATTATTATTATTATTATTATTGGTTAATCTTTAGTGAGATTCACAGCCTTTGAGGCTGGTTAATAGCTCAGCAGCTCGAGTCCTAACCAAGGACCTAGGAACTGTTAAGGTATCATCGGAGGATGTAAGCTGTTCCGAGTAAGGTGGTTTTTTGTAGAGTCAAAATGTTCAAGTCCGGCAATTTTAGAATTTCTAAATAGCGGGGTAGCCCTTTGGGTATTGCTCCAAGGGCTCCAATTACAATCGGGACAACACACGATTTCTTTTTCCACAGTCGCTCAACTTCAATTTGTAAGTCCCGGTACTTGGTGATTTTTTCTTGCTGCTTATCTTCAATTCGTGCATCACCAGGTATTGCAATGTCAATGAACCATACTTTTTTCTTTTCAACTATTGTTATGTCAGGTGTGTTGTGGACCAAGTGCCTGTCAGTCTGAATCCTAAAGTCCCACAAGATCTTGAGTTTCTCATTCTCTAAAACTTTCTCAATCTGATGTTCCCAGTGGTTTTTGCTGTACTCAAATCCAAACTTCTGGCACAATTTCCAGTGAATGATCTTAGCAACACAGTCATGGCGTTGTAGGTAGTCAGTTTGTGAAATTTTGCTGCACCCACTGATCAGGTGGTCGACTGTCTCATCTTTCTCATTGCATAGGCGGCATTTGCTGTTGGTGGTAACATGTTGAATTTTTGTCTTCATGCAGTTTGTGGCTAGGGCTTGTTCTTGAGCTGCCAAAATAAAGCTTTCTGTTTCTTTTTTCAGTATTCCTGATCTTAACCAGTTCCAAGTTAGTTTCTGGTCAGCTTTGCCTTCAATATTTTTCAAGTATTGGCCATGCAGAGCTTTGTGTTTCCAATTTTCAGCTCGCTGCTCAATTACTTCTTTCTTATATTCTGCTTTTGTTTTAGTTGTCTTTAAAAGGCCTCCTTTATTTACTGCCTTAATCATTGGTTCTTCACTTTTCTGGATGTAATCATTCAAGCTGCATTTTTCTTCTTCCACAGTCTGCTTTACTTGTAGGAGTCCTCGACCACCCTCTGCTCTAATAATAATAATAATAATAATAATAATAATAATAATAATAATAATAATAATAATAATAATAATAATTTTATTTCTATACCGCCCTTCTCCTGAAGGACTCAGGGAGGTGTACAGCCTGATTAAAAGCACAAAGACAGACAAAATTTAAAATAATTAAAATTATTAAATGATAGGCCCAATTATAAAACCCCAAATTTAAAATCCCATATTTAAAACCAATTAAAATCTTTACATTGATAGCCCAGCCTGGCGGAACAACAAGGTTTTGAGGGCACAGCGAAATACATGGAGATCAGAGATTTTACGAATTTCTGGGGGCAGTTCATTCCAAAGGGCAGGGGCTCCCACAGAGAAGGCCCTCCCCCTGGGTGTCGCCAGCCAACATAATTTGGCCAATGGAACCCTGAGGAGACCCTCACTGTGGGAGCGAACTGGCCTGTGGGAGGCTACTGGTGGCAGAAGATGGTCTCGACCAATAAAGGTCTCTAATCCTTTCTTAGATCAAAAATATGCCATGTCTAAAGTTCTTTTGTTCCATATCTAATACATTTTAAATTTCAGAAATAATATATTAGGAGATTGAAGTTTACCAATAAATTTCTGAGGATCCTCCATATTTTTTTTCTTTAACAAATTCGAAGCATTGAGATTTTTTTAAGTGCACCACCAGCTCAAGAAGATATGATATTCTTAATTAATATGTATCCTGTCATGTCCTTTATCTGCTTAGAGAATTTACAACCAACACAGCAGGTTGTGAATGTTTAATAGATTCATTTTCAAGAAAGAAAAGGTCAGCATTAACATAAAATTCTTGTAAGATTTGTGACACAAATGTTCTGCTCTGCAGAACAGGTGTTGCTAGAAAAACTAAAATCTGCCACCAAACTAAGCTATCAAGATTATTCTCAGTATTAAGAGCATTCTGAAAATGAGAAGTATGCTATACCTGCTTTTGCTACTGCTGCTATACTGAAACACATTATACTCTCTGTGAGTTGGAATAGATTTTGTCAGTTCATATTTTCTACAGCCACGTGGAATTTAATATATCCTAATTAACTGGATTATTAATATTGTTGTTATTATGTTTACACAGCTCTGTATCTTTCTCCTTGCTTACTCTCCCTTTTTTTCTGCTCTAGCTTCACTCTGACCAGGACAAAGGAGATGGATCTCTCAAGTACATCTTGTCAGGAGATGGGGCTGGCACTCTTTTTGTTATTGATGAGAGAACAGGAGACATTCATGCCACAAGAAGAATTGACAGAGAAGAGAAAGCTTATTATACCCTGCGTGCCCAGGCCATTAACCGAAGAACACTCCAGCCAGTGGAACCTGAATCAGAGTTTGTCATCAAAATCCATGACATTAATGACAATGAGCCAACATTTCCAGAAGAAGTTTATATAGCAAGTGTTCCTGAAATGTCAGTGGTTGGTAAGTATACTCTATAGAAATGGCAAAAGCATGAGTTTGTGGATCTTAATGTAAATTTAAATAGTTGGTATATAGGTTGGTTTACATTAAGAAGATTGTTTAAATTAAGCAGGACCAGCAGGTTCTGCAAAGGTTATTTTATGTGTAGATCAAATTATATAATTTACTAAATAACTTGATAAAAGTTTTTTTTTTCTCTTTTCATTTTAAGACAGAAATGAGCTGTGTGGGTTCCATGTTGTAATATTTTCCTGTGTGATGGTGTTCATTTGATGTAAAAAGGAATATCATTAACATCTTAACTTAGTCTTTTTACCAATAGCTTCTATAACAATAAGATTATGGCATAAACTGGCCATGGTGATCCCAAATTAGTGGCACACTGGATGCCATACCAAAAAGCCTTGGATGGCATGTAGAAAACTTGTGCATTGACAAAATTTCCTTCTGTCAATTGTGAAGGCCACACTGCTTGGATCCATACATTTATTACACCAATACATTATGACATCCTGGGTCCTTGGAAGAACTCAATGCATATAAGGCAAAAATAAAAAACTAACAGCTGTGACCTCACGTTGTTGTAAACAAATAATAGCAATAGCAATAGCACTTAGACTTATATACTGCTTCACAGTGCTTTCCAGTGCTCTCTAAGCGATTTACAGAGTCATCATATTGCCCCCAACAATCTGGGTTCTCATTTTACCCACCTTGGAAGGATGGAAGGCTGAGTCAACCTTGAGCCTGGTGAGATTCAATCTGCCAAACTGCTGGCAGGTGGTGATCAGCAGAAGTAGCCTGCAGTACTGCACTCAAACCACTGCATCACCGCGGCTCTTGATGATAGTGATAAGAATTAATAATAATAATATGAGGAATACTATATATTATTGGATGTTACAGAGTCTCAGCAGTTAAGACGCTGGGCTTGTCAGCTGGAAAGCCAGCAGCCCATGTTTGAGACCCAAGTGCCACACAACAGGGTGAGCTCCTGTCTTCACCCCAACTCCTGCCAAGCTAGTAGTTCAAAAGCATGCAAATGTGAGTGGCTAAATAGATACCACTTTAGTGGGAAGATAATTATGTGATGTCATGCTGGCCAATAACCACAGAATGTCTTCAGAAAGAGCTGACCCAAATGACCTTGAAACAGAGATGAGCACTGCCCCCTATAATTGTCAATGACTGGTGGAGTAAAATTCTCAGGAACCCCCTTTTTTACTTTTATATTAGCATGACAAAATCACCATCATTCAATTTTAAAAGCCAGTTTTACTTGGAACAGATTACCTCTTGTGACAATATCTTTAACACCATCAAACAACATTTGCCTATCCCAGGTCCTTGGAAAGGACTTGATAGATGGGTAAAAATACCAAATCCAGTTTAAACATCTTGCTGACAGTATGATGAACCATCATATGAGGAATTACCAGTAGACAAAGATTGCTATCATTAAAAGTACTGCCCACAAAAAAACCTGCACCTACAAAGAAGGATATGAATAAGGCTATTGCAAGGATTAAAATAATAGTGGTGGAATTTGAGTATTGAAATTAGAAAACCAAAAGCACAATCATATTCAATCCCAAAGTGGAAGATCAGACTGGAGGCCATGATAAAGAAATTAAGATCAGATGCAAGTACTTAAAAAAAGGGGCATTAAAGAGCAAAAACTGAAGAATGTAAGAATCAAGAGAAGCCTAGTAAAACATTGGCATAGCACCAGGAAATTAAAGAAGGTTGGAAATCATAAAGCAATAAATTATAACAATAGCTAGGAATATTGAGTCTTATAAGGCCTGATTCATTTATTTTATGCAATATCAGCTGTTTCAGTCAGACCAGAGAAGACTCTAACAAAATATAAATGACAATAAATATTCTGAAAATTGGGGTGGGGGGGGAGAGAAACAATCTAGTTTGGAAAGATTTGTGGGAAACTTTAAAAGACTATAATAAAAAGTTGAATTAATGAAGAACACCAGGAAACTATAGGCCAATAACATGCTTGTTTACAATGTTTAAGTTATTTTCAAGCATAACAGCAGAAAATATGCAAGGTTATTTAGAAGAAAATAACAGCCTCTCAATAAAATTGAAAGGAGATAGATGGAAAAGCAGAGGTACAAAAATCAGTTTGTGATAGATAAAATGTACATATAATCTGAATTGGTTATAAAAACGTGTTTGATTCATTACCACATAATTAGATCATCATTCCATGTTTGGAAACAACTGTGAGCAAAAACATTAGAATGCTTATAGAAAAAATAATAATGAATCAGTGGAAGACAGAATAGGTTGTTGAAAATGAAAAATATGGGCTTGTCAACATTAGGTGATTCATCTTCCATTATCACCTTTATTATTTGACATTGCTATGATCCCACTTTCAGTGATTTTGAAGAAAAAAAAATCTTGACTGCCAAACAACAGAAAAATGCTAATAAAAATCTCAGATTTGCTTTGTACGGATGATCTGAAGCTTTGTGGAAAATCAGAAATTGAAATCCAGCCATTGACAATTACTTCAAGAATTTCTAATACTGATATAGCAGTGAAAATTGAATGGTGGAAACACCATCAAACCCGTCAATATCTGGGCCATATCTCTTATATGCTACACAGCTGGAATTATTAACTGGACACAAGCAAAACTGTACAAAACAATAGAAGTCATTATTCAGTATAAATGACATCCCTGTAGTGATGTTTAGATTATGTTTAATCCACAAAAATGGAGGCCGAAGTTTACTTCAGATCAAATAAACTGTTAAAGAAAAGCATGCATTGGCTGATTATGTAAAAGCTACCCAAAACCAAGCACTGGTACAATTACAAATTGGATGTTAATAATTGTACAGGAAACAAAAAGTGAATATCAAAATAATGTACTAAAACCGAATCTGGCAAGGGAAAAAGCATTATGTGATTAATTTCTACAAAAGATCAAAGGGAAAGTGGATAAAGATAAAACTCTTGGTTTTAGCTGCATAAAAGCAAGCTATTCAAACTAGTGTAATCAAGGACAGATTTTTTTTTAAAAAAATCAAAGTGTAAATTGTACAAAGAAGGAGAAACAGTAGATCATATACTCAGCTTGTGCATGAAGATTGCACAAACTGATTATAAACAATGACATAACACAGCTGGGAAACTTAACTTTTAACTGGAACATGTGTAAAAATGATCACATGCCAGTAAAGAAAAATTGGTGAGAAGGTAGAGTTGAAAAAATAGTAGAAAATGGGCAGGTTAAAATTTATTTATTTATTTATTACAAAATTTATTTGCCAAGCATTTCATATCCAAAAACTCTGGGTGGCTGGAAGCATGAAAAATACTGTGGAATTTCCAAATACAGACTGATAAAGTCTTAGCTCATAATACACCAAATCTGTAGTGTGGTTGAAAAGAGGAAAGCATGGATAATTGATGTGGCAATTACATATGCAATGCTAATACACCAGAAGAAAGCCAGATTAAAATTTTGACTCCATTTGATTCTTAAATATTATTATTATCTGTAATCTGGCAGAAACCTTTCTGATTGCCAAGATTAGCAGGATATGCATTTAAAAGATTTTGAGATCCAATGATCTCTTGATAGAGAGATCTATTCACAGTTTTTTCCCCACCCAGCCATATTAGATTGTTCTGGGCTTAAAATGACTCCAAAACTACTTCAAAAGCTGAACAGACCATTTTGAACATAGAATATCCCATCTCAAGTTCAGAACAAATGTTTCAGGCTATAAATGGGCCCTTTTGAGCTTAAGATATTTCAGATTTCAAATGTTTTGCATTGTTTAGCCAAGATAATTTTATATTTACTCAGAATCTAGTCCTACTTCAACTTTAATTAGAAGGAACACCATCAACACTAATATTATTTCATTACTTGTCTTCAACATCTTCAATTATCCTCTCATCCACAAGAAACTCCATTAATTAGCATTTACTTTCATTGAAATCCTTTTATTAAAAATGATAATGAGTAATTAATTAAACTTTAACCCTATTCTGAAAGTAATTTAGTATTGAGCAATTAAGATTTGCTAGCTCTTGGGTGACCTTGTCTGGGATCAGAAGCTAAGAAGGTTCATATCTGGTTATGGATGGGAGATTTTCCAAGCTGTGACTGAGAAGTCAGAAAGTATCACCTATAAAGGCTTAAAGTCACTTTTATATTCTTGCCAAGAAAATTGTATTAAGTCACAGAAAGTCAAGCTCAATGTGAAGGAGATTTTGCTTTAATTAAGATTTAATTACTGTTACTATATTACTATTGAACAGAAACTAATTAAGCAGGTAGAAGTCACTAAGAGAAATATCTGACATAAAATATACTGAAAAGCCTTATAAGCTCTGTTTAGTTTCTAAATAGCAATTTTATAAATTTACACACACACAAGGCTATGAATATGTGTGTCTGTGATATGCTGTATATTTCAGAACTGAAAAATGGCAAAACTATTGAATGTAATGCAATGACACAGAATTGGGGGGAGGGTCGGATTTATTTTATTTTTTTGGTCAAAAAGAAAATTACCTAAGCTGTGATTATAGAATGTTTATAGCATGAATCACACACATATACATATTATTCAGATTAAACCAAATAATAAAACACTGCTTTATAGCTATGCCTCATCATTCAGACAGAAGGTGAAAATGAATCAGGAAAGTTAGCAAAGGATAGGGAAAGAGCCTATGAGGATTCTGGCTTCATGCATGATACAATATGTAACTAATAACCTCATCCTCTGTCAGAAATAATGTAGTTATTCCAACCTTTATTATGCGGTCTCCACTGTACTGTGGCTCAGGAGGAGATGCTTGTAACAATAATTGGTATTTTGTGTTTAGTTATAAAGTTGGATGGTGTTCCGAAATCTAATCTGTTAAATAAGGATTGGAATATTTTAACTAATATGGTCATATGACTGGCAGGACAACAAATGTAAACTCAAAATAGAAGTTGCAAAACAAGT